TTTCCCTACCCCAATGTCTCCCAGAGTTTCCCCTGGTGTTTTCTAGAAGCAGTTTTATAGTTTGAGGTCTCAGATTTAGATCTTTGATCCACCTTGACTTAATTTTTTCAAAGGCGAGAGGTAGAGGTTCAGATTCATCTTTCTGCAGGTGAAAAAATCCAGTTTTACCAGCACCATTTGCTGAATAGGTTTTTCTTTTCCCATAGGATTGACTGGTAACCCTTGTCAAAAATCAGTTGATTATATGTTTGGGAATTTATTTCTGGGGACTATATTCTGTTCCATTGGTCTGCATGTCTGTTTCTGTGCCAGTACCATGAGGTTTTGATTACCACAGTTTTCTAATATATTTTTGGGTCAGGGAGTGAGATGCCGCCCACTCCACTTCTCTTGTGTAGAATTGCTCTGGCAATACGGGGTCTTTTATGATTCCAGACGAATTTTATGATTGTCTTTTCTAGGTCTGTGAAGAATGTGTCTGGTACTTTGATTGACATTGCATTAAACACGTAGATTAATTTGGGTAGAATTGCCATTTTGATTATATTAATTCTTCCAATCCAGAAACATGGGATGTCCTTCCACTTTTTTTGTCATTCTCAATTTCTTTTTTTAGCTTCTCATAGTTTTCCTTGTGGAGGTCTTTCACTTCTTTGGTTAGATTTATTCCTAAGTATCTTATACTTTTTGTGGCTATGCTATTTGGAAAAAAAATTTTTCAATTCTATCTCAGTCTGCCTGTTGTTTGTATAGAGAAATGCTATACATTTTTGTATCCTGATATTGATTTTGTATCCTGCAACTTTATTGTATTTGTTTATTACTTCCAGAAATGTTTTTAATGGAAACCGTTTGGTTTTCTATGTATAAAATCATGTCATCTGCGAATAGAGAGAGTTTCACCTCTTCTTTTCCTATTTAGATGCCTTTAATATTTTCCTCTTTTCTGATTGCGTTGGCAAGAACTTTCAATAATATATTGAAAAAAAAAAAGTGGAGAAAGTGGGCATCCTTGTCTTGTACCCAAAACGGGAAAGCTTTTAGCTTTTCTCCATTCAGTACCGGAGACCTGCTCCAGATGGGGTGGGTTGAGGCTTGTACACAGGAAGGCGACACAGATGAAAAGGAATTCAAGCAGAGACCTCAATGCTCTTTAGCATGTTCTCAGCCGACTACAGTCAGAGCCAGCTCAAGACTGCAGTGTCTGTGGCTAGGAAACATACATATTTATTGGGGATGTTTACAGGGGCAGGAGGGGTGAGTGGGAGGTAAAAGATTTACTCTAAGAAATTAGGTATTCAAAGTATAGGAACAATCATAAAACATGATGCACTGTTCTGTTTGATTAGTTATAATCAGTCACAATTCTCAGGGCGAGGGAGTCCATTTGTCTGGTGCATTTTCTTCTTAGATCTTCATTACCAGGAAGGGTCTTTTTGAAGAGGGGGCTTGCAGAAAGCTTAATAACTTCAGTCCCAGGCCAGGGTGGCAACATCACTGGTTACAAAGGCCTAGATAGAAATATTGTCTTGTTAAGTAAAGACACGGTTAAAATATACTAAAGTGGAATATCTATATTACAGCTAAGAGGGTGAGTCTATTGCCCATATGGGAAAGGAATGTGGTCTTGTAAGCAGATCAATGACTGACCTAAAGATTATTGTGTAATTGGGACCCCTACGTGCTGTTCTATACAATGGCTGTGGCTCGGGGGAACAGCAATCTTTCCTTGTCCTGAGATCAAAGGTGGCTCATGGTCTTTGTTTGTGTTATCAGTACCTCACAGATGAGCTCCTGAGCCTCTCCCAACTACTGAGGTCATTTCATCAATTTATTCGTTTTTCCATTAACCCAAACCTTTCTAATGCTATCTATGAAATCCCCAGTAGGAGAAGTGAATGCAGCATTCTTTATTGACATTTTCCAGGCAGGTGGGGTGAGTCTCATGGAAATAATTCCCGTTCACTGCCACATTAGGGATCTGCATTCCTTCAGGATTATTGTAAAAGTTATTTTGCCCTTACGGGGTACCATAATGACAGTACAACTCATAGCAGAGAAATTGAGCACAAACCACTACAACAAATACAGTTGAAATCGAGCTCGTAACTTGCAGTCTTGCTTGCAGTTCTTCTCAGCCCAGCCTTGCTTAGGCATGAGAGGCAGCTCCTTTTTGTTCTGCCTGTGTTGACTGTATGGTCTCTGCCAATTCAGGATGATGTTCACTATGGGTTTTCCATAGATAGCTTTTATTGCATTCAGAAATGCATTCGATGCCTATTTTACTGAAAATAGTCATCATAGAAGAAGGTTACATTTTGTCAAATGTTTTTTTCTGCATAGACTGAAAAGATCATACAATTTTTATCTTTCTTCCTGTTAGTATGGTGTATTACATTTATGGTTTTGCATATGTTGAACCAACCTTGCATTCCTGAAATAAAGCCTACCTGATCATGGTGTATGATCTTTTTTATAAGTTGTTGGATATGATCTGCTAGTATCTTGTTGAGAATCTTTGCATCTATATTCATCAGGAATACTGGCCTGTAGTTTTCCTTCCTTGTCCTGTCTTTATCTGTTTTAAG